GTTGTCATATGGGATCATTAAGAGTCAGAATTGACGATAAGGAACCTAAGAACAACACTACTGGTTAGAACAGTGCTTTTCAAACTTTAGTATGTATACAGTTTTGTTGAAGTGCAGATTCTGATTCAGTAGGTGTGGCATGGAGCCTAAGAGTCTACATTTCTAATGAGCTCCCATGTGATGCCACCATACTTTAAGAGTAAGGTGTTAGACAGCCTTGGTGGTGCAATGTAATTCAGGTACACTTTGGTAACTTTGCTTAAATAGATACTATGGGTAAGGGAGAGAGACAATTCTTACTGAGGAAGTAGCATATGAGCAGAGAACTGAAGAAACAACCAGTCACAGGAAGATCTTGAGGAAGAACATTCAAGGCAGAGAAATATGCAAATGCAAACAAACTGAGGTGGGGACGAGTTTTGGCTGGACCATGATATGTGAAAGGGGGAACTGTTAAGAGGTAACACCTGTGAGGAGTTTGAAATGGGAAGCCATTGGTGGCTTTTAAGGAACACAGTGATATAATCTGATCTACATTGTTAAGAACCCTCTGGTGACTGAGAAACGTATCCTAGAGGGAAGCAGGGAGCTCTGTTGAGAGACTATTCCAGTTCACAACTGCACTGGAGCTAGTGACAAGTAGATTTCCTTTTTTAAAATTAATTTGTTATTTTTGGATTAAACACAGCAAAACATATACCAATTCGACAGTTTTTACATGCACCATTTAGTGACATCGATTATATTCTTCAAGTTATGCAACTTTTCTCACTCATTTTCTGAGTTGTTCCTCCACCATTAACATAAATTCCACCCCCTAAGGTTCCTATCTAATCTTTCCATTTGCTATTGTCAATTTGATCTATATTGATAGATTTAAAAAAGCATAATGCTCAACACAGACATTCTTTACAACTTAAGCAAAACTATTTGGTTTCAAGAATCCAGGAGCAATTTTATGTTTCAAGATTATCTCTGAGTTGTTGTTTCAGGGATTCATCTAGCCTCCATGGCTCCGGAAAGTCTACAGTCCATGAGAATTTGAAATCCTTTTCTGAATTTTCACCCTTTTAATCAGGATTTTTCTATAGCATTTTTTATCAAAATGTTCAGTGATGGTAGCCAGGTTCATCCAATTCTAGTCTCATACCAGAGGAGAGAGTTGTTCATGGAGGCAGTTAGCCACACATCCTTTTCTTCCTCCTATTTCTGACTCTTCCTCTGTTGCTCCAGGCGAATAGATACCACTGTGCCTTAGATGGCTACTTGCAAACTTTAAGACCCAAGGCAATATATAACTATGTAGGAGGTAGAACTAGAGCAATAAACATGTCATTAGGCCAGTTAACTGGGATGTTCCATGAAACCATGACGCTAAACCTCCAAATCAAGGAACCAAATCCCATGAGGTGTTTGGTTATACATATGCATCCTCCACAGCTTTTTTCCCCCTTTTTCATACATCTCACACACAACTTTTGCCAATTCAGCTTTCTACAGGTGAATAACATACTGACAACAATTACAGTAATTGTCTGTGCAACTATAATCAGTGTGATTTTCCCATCATTGTAAACCCCATAAGCAACAAACCCCTCTTTTGCCCCCTCTCCCACCCCTGAGAACCACTAACAAACTTTGGTCTCTATACATTTCCTTTTTTGAAATACATGTATAAGTGAGATTATACAATATTTGTCCTTTTATGATTGGCTTATTTCACTCAGCATAATGTCTTAAAACTCCATCTGTATTGTGCATGTATCAAGACTTCATTTTCTCTACTAGCTGAGTAGTATTCCATTGTGTGTATATACATTTTGTTAATCTAACCATCCATTGATGTGCATTTAGGTTGTTTGTTCTATTGGCTATTGTGAATAGTGTTACAATGAACATTGGTGTACAATCATTTGTTTGACTCTTTGCTTTCAATCCTTTTAGGAAGAATTTCTGAGAGTGGAATTGCTGGGTCATATGATAGTTTTATTTTTAGTTTTTTGAGGACGTGCCACAATTTTCAACTGATGGCTAATGATGTTGAGCATATTTTCATGTGTCTGGTGGTAATTCAAATGCCCTTTTTGATGAAATGTTTATTCAAGTCCTTTCTCATTTTATGATTAGGTTATTAATCTTTTTTGGTGTTAAGTTGTCAAAGTTTTATATATATTTTGGTTATTAGATTCTTATTCAATATGTGGTTTCTGAAGATACTCTCACA